TGGAATTCCCAAATCGATGACCCCCCTCCCCTCTGGATTTCCGAAATGCCGCCCGTCGTATGGTACGGATATTTTCTGGAACTACCCATTCAAAGAAAGTCGCAAATCTGATAAACAAAGCTGTCTTGATTTCCTCAGTCCAACTTACAGAAAATATGAAAAGTGGACTGATTACCACAGCAACGGTCCGATACGGCTCAGGATGGACCGYGCGTCAGCCAATCAGAATTCAGGAAATTTACAAGCCATATAATAATTGGTGGTTATTGATGACAATATTCCATCAATGCATTCAATAATGTTGTTACCATGAAATAAAATGATTCACAATGGTTTGTTCCAATTTTTCTTAAGGTGATTGCAAATGTCCCTCAAAATGTCCCACTTTTTGTAATAGCTTATAGTTATATGGATGGATGCTCTGATGTTTAAATAAGTAAAGAAGAATTTGTGTAAAYCTGTTCCTAGAATTTCACGATCCTGTATCTACGAATGGGTATACCAAGACTTGAATTGGAAAGACAAGTGGAAATAGTTCCAACATTGATACAATGTCTGCATCAAAGACCAGTTCCACAACAGGATTGGTGAGTGTGTTATTTTATGCCAATCTTCCTCTCACTGTCAGTTATTACATGTATATGTACWGGAGTCTAGATTTTGAAGGGTTGCACATAACAGAATTGTGTATAGTAATTGAAGACATAAATATAAAGTCATCAAAGAATGGGGTRTAGCTGGATATAGCGGCATACATGTACAGTATACAATCTAGTATCCTTTCATTTATCCATGTCATTTCTTTTTAACATTTTCTATTTCTGTGTCTTTTCTCTGCCACATAGTACACAGTTTACTAACGACACAGTTGATTAACAAAGTGGAGAAGTATTCTGAATTTTTTAAATAAAAAGCTCAAGAACTGCATAGCATATTTTCAAAGTTGTGTTGAAAATACACTCTATAGTCAAATTCTGGGTTTAAATGCCAAAATACTAAACAGACCCTGATAACATACATGAAGCTACAGTATGTACAATARTTATGTAACTTTGCAGAGTGGCAATACAGAGTGCTATGCAATACTGCTGACACCTTTATAGTATAAAATAATGTTCATCCATTCTCAGCATCCTTCAGCTCATCATGCCAGTTCTTGGACTTGTCAAGGTCCCTCAGGATACGGAACAAAAGGAGGGTTTGTTTTTATTCAAGCAGAATCCAGATGTTGCCAAAGTGTTTCTTGATTTCATACTAGATGTTCTTCTGATGCCATATAGGTAAGTACACAATATGTAATTTCAAGTTATTTAATCATAACTTATTATATAGTATTGACATAACAGAAACWCTAGTTTACTACTACATGTAGTTCCCACCATAACAAAAACTGTCTAGCTTTTAATCCTAATACAATAATTGTTTATTGTAATTAAACACTGGTTTTTGCTATCATTTTTTTTTGTACTACAACTTTGATTCCATTAACGGAACATATTATTTTGTTTAATAATAAACAAACAGTTCGAGTCATTCAGCCAAGACAGAGGAAGACCAACTTCATGAAGAGGAATCAAGTTCGTCTACCTCTGCAGAACCATCAAGTCTTCCTGGTCCTGCTAAATCTACTGGGCCTCCACCTGGTCTTAGCAATGCTGCTATTAAGAGAGTGACTGGTGATCATCCCATGGAGGGCGACAGTTTAGAAAAGGTATAGACTCATCTTTACAAGATAAGAAATGACGAGTAAAACTACAGTAATTAGACCAAAAGTAAAATGCACTTCTATCGAAACATTCTGGAAAATATCCAAACAAGTTTTAGTGAGATGATTAATATTAAGCTTTTTGTTTAAATCTGCTTGAAATGTATACTGTTTAAATATGAGATTCACTCACAGACAGTATGTTTACAAAATGGTTTTTGTTTTGATTTTTATACTACTTGATTTTTATAAAGTTTATCATGATGACCTACTGCATGTACTGCACAATGTACTCATAAATGACAATTAGTATAATAATTATATAGAAAAAATATTTTTAGCTTAAATTAAATTAAATTAAATTAAAATTAGAATTAAAATTAAAATTAAAATTAAATTAAATTAAAATTAAAATTAAAAAGTGAGAGAGTTAAAAGTGAGTCACTTAAAAGTACTATGTAGGAACTTTAATTTTAATTTTTGAGATATGGATATTAAAATATCCATTCAGCATCTCAACTTTTTAGTGAATTGTACATGTAGGCTTGATTACATGTATGATAACATATCTGCCAGTACTATTTTTGGTGTATGCCATAACTTACATGTATTGTATCTTTGATACAAATAAAGCAATTATGAAATTTTTATCACAATATTGCAATTGTTATACATTGTACTGACTATAAATTGTTTTGTTGATTTGTTTCCAGGTTAAGCTTGGAGTCTTAAGGTTTTTGTCAAAAGATGTATTTCAAGAGAGTGATGTGATTTGTCATTTTGTTGTTGCTACAGGAGACTCAAGGCACAGGTATACAATTAATAAATGTAAAATATGTAATATGAATACCAGTAAACAAATCAAGCACACGAAAACCAATTACTATACATGTATATTCAGAATGTTTTGAAGCAAAAAAAGGCAAGAAATTAAACCATAATAAAAGCGTCAGTAGAAGGCAAATTAACATTTGAAAATGGTATAAAAAATAAAATGAGAAAAAAATCATGAATTATGTGTGATTATGCATGATGTGGTAAATTATGCGGAAAGGGAGTAATTATACACATCCACATTTGCGCATGATTCCAACATGCCTGATAGAAGCTTTACATATAATTAATTTTATCATCAGCGTTATCTTCAGCTCTTCTTGGATTGAGCTCATGAATAGTGACCATTATCCGCCAAACTCAATCACTAGGATTTGCTGTTTGGTTGTGAAATCAAAGTGAAAAATAAAGAATATTTTTTGAATTGCCTTCTTTTGTTTTCTCAAGCCTTCTCTTATATGATGTCACACAATCAGGAAAGTAATAAACTAAGGATATATTGCATCTCTCTTTCAGTATTGGCGATTTTGCAGACCATGAATTAAAGCGGGTTGCAAGGTAGGGTAAATATATGAGTCAGTATGTAATCATCCACTTACAAAGATCATGATTTGTCATTGTATTGATAAAATTGAATTTTAAAAGTTAATTCAAATTCTGATCAGTATCAATATTGCTAGTTCAACAGACTGGGAGAAACCTGAGGTTGTCAGCAAGATGTTTGGTATCTTTCTTGGTACTGTTGTAACTGCAGGCTCTAACAAGGTAATACAAACATGACGTCCTTCATTTTCATCCTTCCTTTTTGAAAAACACAAATGTCTTTTTGAACTCATCTCCCTTCATGTAACTGTTTCTTATTTTAGTTATACTTTATTTTCAGCTTATAATTCCTGGCCTTCTTTTTCATGTAACTGTTTCTTATTTTAGTTATACTTTATTTTCAGCTTTTTCTTCTTCTAATACATTAACCGCTTTTTCTTTTTTTTTCTTTTCTATCATCTCCAAGTAAACTTAAAATGTTATTGCATTCATCTAAGGCCACACTATCTGCTGACCAGAAGAGAAGCCCAGCAGGTATAAGAGTTAAACAGAAGATATTTCCTTACTTACTGAGGTCAAGAAGAGCTACAGATCAGTTTCCTGCTTGCATTCAAGTAATTATGATGAATTTATTATCAGTGGCATAATGTTGCATCAGACAATGTTAATACTACAATAGCAAGGCATAGATTGTAACATCTTACTCTATAGCTATAGTAGGATACATGCATTTGACTTTGTTGAAAGTTTTGATCATTTTATTTTTATTAGGTCATTGACAAATGAAATTTGTTAGTAGATAATATACAGTGTAAATGAGAAATTTTGTTCTTCTCTGTGTAAAMAACAAAACATTTTGTTTACTGGTGGCGTCCCAAACTGTTGTACTATCTAAAAATTTGCTACCTTGATTTGATAAAGTCTCATATTTCAAATACTTTGATGCATGGAAGGGCAGATTCTGGGAACCCCTGATACATTTGTATTGTCAACACCGTCACTGCCAGCATCATCACTGATAGTATCATCACCACTATCACTACCAGTCACCACTATCACAGGCAGACTCACTATTATCACTAACCGAATCACTACCATCACTGCCAGTATCACCACTACTACTGCCAGAACCACTACAACCACTACAACCACTGCCAGTATCGCCCATAGTACTGCCAGAAACACTACAATCACTGCCAGTATCGCCACTATTACTGATAGAACCACTACACTCACTGCCAGTATCGCCAATATTACTGCCAGAACCACTACAATCACTGCCAGTATCGCCACTATTACTGCCAGAACCACTACAATCACTTCACGGCCAGCCATTACGACTTCAACACGGACAAAGTGTGTAATTGATTGTTATCGCTTTGAAAATTCTTTATCGACGTAAAAAAGGCTGTTCAGATGCTCTTATTGTTTCAAATACGAATAAAGACAGCTCTGGAATTCATGTTATCCTAGATTACAATCACAGTTCTCGTGAAAAACACCAAACASYAAACACGAACATGAATCACACTTCAAAACAAAATGGCGGTCGGCCAAACAACAAATACCTCGCATACCATCAAATCGCTTCGAACGTCTCTACAAAATCTTAAAATCAAAATAATCATGTGTTGTATTCACAAAAACAAGATTTTTTCTTGGTAGAATTCATTCTATATATGGAAAACATTACTAATAGAAACTTATGATTTATTCTAATTATTTTATTTTATTATTATTTTTATTATTATTTTATTGCGTAAATTACACTGTCGTCATGACTTATCATTAGAGCCAGTATCACTACATCGTTGCCAGTCTCACTACTATTACTGCGAGCAAAACGACCTTCACTGCCAAAACCATTTTAATTACAGCCAGTTTCACCACAATCACTGCCAGTATCAACACTATTACTGCCAGCATTGCTTTTAACACAAAGTACATTTTTTACCAGTTGTTTTTGTTTCCAGGTAGTGTTTGATAGTCTGTTTGGTGCTCAGCCCAATGCTAAGCTAAGAGTAAATGCCGTCCAGTTTGTCCAACACATGTGTTTGTTCAGCTCTGATAAAGTACTTGGTGCCATGGGTCAAGTTTTGTTGTCTGGTATGACCAAACTTGTTGACGAAGAAAAACAGGTAATGCATCAACTCTCTCTGGCAGAAAGCAATGGACATATGTTTCATATTTGAACTATTTTCCTAAGACCAATCTCTTTTCCAATTTGTATGATATAAAAGGCCACACCTGAAATACAAATTAAATATTCTTTTCTTTTGATTGTGAGCACATTACAACAATTATTGTTGAAGTGTGACACACAAAAGTCAAATGTTGCATTTRCCATCTTGTGTTTTGGTGGCTGTCCATCAAACAGCTAAAGTGAAAACATGTACAACTTCACCAAATTTTATGCTAGACAAAGTGCTTTGAWTATTTTTGGTATTACCTTTATCAAAAAAGTAGTTATTATAATAGTTATGATACTGAATTCTACTAAAAACTAACATTTTCGAAATCAAGTTTTTTGATTGAAACCCACCAATGTTTTTTTGCAAACAAAAGACTGAGTTTTTTGGTCACTCTTCAACGATTATGGCTGTAAATTYTTAGAGAGTTTACCATTTTATAWAAAACGTGCTAGCAGAAAATTCTAGGTTTTTCTATGTAAAGAMGTTTTTTGTGCTGGCTTATTGTATTCCTAACTACTCACAGAATGTCAAGCTTCGAAGTCTTGCATTTGGCGCAATCGGCAAATTATCCAGGTATTCATTTGTTACTGTTTATATTGAGAAGTTAACAGCATATTCTCATTCATTTTATTCCTTTCTTCAGGAGACTTCCATCATTATTCGTCAATGACATTGGCCTTGTACAGAAACTATTCCAGTTTATATGTGAGGTACATGCCAACAATATGCACGAGAGGGGTTCTCCATCATTTTATTCTCATTAACTCAAAAACAAGTTTGTAGAGTGGACGCGCTTTTAAAATTCGTKAAAAATGGTACTAATTACTACTAAGTAGTATTTGTTATTGAATATTTTGTTGTTACAGTAGCTAGATAACTTTGTATTCTCTAGGAAGAAGAAGACGTCAGACTTGCTGTTCAGGAAGCTTTGTCAATGATGGCTCCTGCCTTTAGAGATACAAAAGGATCGACTAAATCACTTATCGAGGCTTTGATTCTGAATAATGTAGAGAAGGAGACGCATCAAGCAAGGCTTGTAGCTGTACAGTTTGCAAACAGTGTCTTTCCCCCAACACATATTCCATCCAGATACGTGTGTATGTTGGCCGTCGCTGACATGTAAGTGATAAAGTGGTAATACTAGAGTTGATGCTAATGGGTGAAAATGATCTGATGTTATGGCGGAGTTCCGCGGAGCATTCGGCASWGCTTGCTAGATTAGAGGAAGTAAACCGTGTGTTRCACATGGACTTTGTTTTTGATGGTTTTATGGTTTGACATGCATTATTATTGACAGAGAATAATTGTTATCATTCCAGCAAAGACGACGTTCGAGATGAAGCGAAGCGTGGTCTTCGATTAGTTAAAGATCGTAGTGTTCTTACGTCAAGTGAACAAAACACAACCGAGACTGGTCAACTTCCATCATTTCCAGAGATWGTGGAGTATGTTGTACAAAAGGTTTGTAATGGAAAGCATAGTGCACTAGCTATAAACTATTTGGGATGTGCACTTGTTGCATGCCACACTATTTTTCCCTTGTTTAAGAAAAGGAAAGCCTCTGGCCTGTTGTAAGATGGGGGAATAGTGRTATCCACAGGATAAATCCTTATCCAGACGATAAAATCCATACAAAATCTATAGAATGGATAACCTTATCCACCCTTCAATACAGACGATCACTGGACTTCAATCTTGAATTGTTCGCATCTAAAGACAAATATTCACACGCTTTCTGGCTGTCTCGTTCTGATGTAGTGAATAACATCTGTAATAACCAAAACTTTCAAAAAGTGTATGCTGGTATTCGTCTACATCATCATTATTCTCTGTATATAAGTCGTCATATTAAGACACTATAGAGTTGATTTCGTATGACTGTTCAAATGCACGMAACTCGTCACGGTCACGGAACCTCGCCTGATATAAATAAGTGATTCAAAAACCCATCACCGCTACGGSACGGTACGGTGACGACAAGAAAGTGCCGTGTTTTTTGAACAGTCATGCGAAATCCGCTCTATGTAAGTACACTAACTGACTGCATATTTTAGTTTTTCCTGTGAATCTTCTACTAAAAGGATCTGATTTCTACAGGCTTCTGAACGTTTTCATGGCTCATCTTGTTATATTGCTGGTCACCATAAGCTTGCCTATACTCCAGGCATTTTTACTGAGGTTTGTTTAGTTAAAAAAAAAGACATTTTCGTTTTCTAAWAGGTTTCATCATCGAAGCTAAGACAGTGCATGGGAGAGGAACAGATGAGTGAAAATCTTGGTTACAACATTGCTCCAGTTCAAAAACATTGACTGACCTAAATAATTCTATGGTATTGCATCCTCTATAAGGAMTTTCTCTGTGACTTCCTCAATTGCGTTCTCGGGCAACCATTTGCTTTTCGGATAATCAAGGTTCTGCGGGCAGCTATTACAGCATAACGCCCTCGATTCAACTACTCTATTGTTCAATTAGAGACACTATGGATTGTTGGGAGAATACAAAAAAGTTTTTTTTCACAAGATTGATTTTTTTGCAGATTTTTTTATAGTTAAAATGTATATAGTATAGTTATTGTATAATTGTGGTTTGGATATATTCCTTTTGGACTTAAATATAARAATTCTATTACCTAAAAAAGTCTACTACAATTTTTCTTCTCAAACGTTTTTGTAATTAGTTATATCTTGTTACTTACACAGATCACACTGTATCTGAGGCGTTGTTTAGCTGATAGYGCGGGTGTTACGCATGAGGACGAGGTAAATCACGAGACTCTCGTTGTTATCTCAAGGTACCTGCAGAATTTGCTTAACAATATCATGGACTCAGGTACGTGACATGAACCCACTTTCGCTTCTATTATAGTTTTAAAAATCCCCTTTGCTGAAATCGTCCTTACTTGTCAGTCAGAATATTCGACGTTACAGTGTTTTCAAGATATATACTCCTAGTTTTAGCACTTAAAAATTGGAAATGCAAAGTTAAATGATGTTATCCAATAAATAGTTTGATATACAAAGTCACTTCTTGTATTACATTCGGCATATTTTATTTCTAACGCGCCAACACTGTTATTTTTTATTCACTTAAATACAATTTTGCCGAAATTTCCTTGCAACGTCATTTTATATGTAATTTCATTTTTAATCATCATTATAAAGGAAAGATTAAAAATATTGTCATGTACGGAAGTTTGAATTGTATACTATGCTGAGCTATTTAAGGACTTTTTCCGCGTCTTGCAGATATTYCGTCATCGTCAATTGGAAAATATCTTGATCTATTAAAACAAGCTCTTCAACCAATTGGAGGTCTGTGATGTTAAAAAGTWATTTCTCTCTAGTTTATAAGTTCCTCCATCATTTAACTATCCATCTATTCCTTCATTTCGTCTTTCTATCGTTTGGTGATTAGCAATAATGTATTTATTGCTGGTTTTTCTATTTTGCATTTGTTCGTTCACTGTTATTTTCTTTGGTAAGGTGCTGATTTGCATACAGTTGCTCTTCATAGTCTGCTGGAAATGGTGGCAGCAGTCCCAGCAAGACTTGCAAAGTTCTATCATCAACAGTTGGACTGGTTAAAGGTAATCTTGTCTTTTGGCAGGCCTTTGTTTCAAGGGTCTGATAGCGTTTGTTTTAGTAACTCTTTCACTGTCGGGTGAAAACCACTTTGAGTTCCCATATYCTCTTTTCRAATATGGCTGATACCGAGCTCACATACCTCACGAAATTAATAGTAATTATGTAGTAGCCAATCAGGTCAAATGTGCTCTTATACTGTTCCCATCKTTACTGTCTTAGAGTTTTACTTTATCTACTAAGCAAGAAGCAAGGGAGTACGCTAGTCGGCTGCTGGGAATTGTTGTTAGCTCAATGGGACAAAAAACTTTTAATGAAGTGATGTCCGACTTTTCTTCTTCTCTGAGCTCCCAGGTAAGGCAGACGAACTGCTTCTAAGTTAGTTATAGGCATATTGAATATCCAATAATCAGCATTCCAAGTTGTCTCTTATAGCAASACTGTAGGTTAGCATTGTTGTCAGTGTTTGACATTTTCTTTTAAAATAAATTTTCTTTAAAAGTCCATGATATCCTACGGTTTGAATTAATATGCAGTGACTCCATTTCCATGTTCCTACTCTCTTAATTGATGTTTGTCTTGACTTCAGTCACTGGACATCAAACATGGTGCCGCTACAGCGTTAGGTTTCCTTATTGCCAGACACATTCACCAAGAACGACTGAGCCAACTAGACGAAGATGATGTGATTATAGAAGA